TGACTCGTGCAGTATACAGGTCCTCAATAGAAGGCAGGTGGGTAGTAATTGTTTTTTTTCTGCAGTCCTAACTATCCTCTGAAGTCTGTGTCTGTCCTGTTGGGTTGCAGAACCAAACCAGACAGTTAAAGAGGTGCAGATGACAGACTCAATCATTCCTCTGTAGAACTGTATCAGCAGCTCCTTGGGCAGTTTAATCAAGCTCAAGATAATTGAATGAATCGATCTATTGGGTTTTTAATTGATTGCATTGTCTGGCTGTAGGACATGCTTCACAGTAGCTCCGAGAGAAGGGGTGTCTGGATAGCGTTGGCTAGTAAGAAATATTTCAGCAACATGCCTCAGGAGAGAGATATGTTACTATTTCTGTAGCATATAATCAGCTTTCAAGCTCTGTTGTGCCTCCCCCCCTTTTTAAAAAAAATTTGGCCTGGGAGAAATAGAAGAATGCCTGACTCATATAACGGCAGAGGCCTGGTTCACTTGTCTAGACTTGGCCTTTTGTAAAATCAAATGCTATCTTATGTACCTGTAGTCCTCGGTTTATGACCGCAGTTGAGAACTAGGATTTCCATTTGCTAAGCAAGGCAGGCGTGAGTTGCACCTGATTTTATGATTTTTTTTTTTTACCACTGTTGTTAAACAAATCGCTGCTGTTACTAAGTTAAGCACATGGCTGTTCAGTGAGTCTGCTTTCCCCTGTTGCTTGTCGGGAAGCTGGCTGGGAAGATCCCAAATGGCAATGACCCCCGGATGCTGCAACCTTCATAAATCCATGCCGGTTGCCAAGCGTCTAAATTTTGATCATGTAGCGTTGGGGGTGTGCAAGGGCAAGGACAGGTTTTAAGTTCAGAGCTGAAGAAGCTTCTTGGATGAGAAGTGAAACATCTTCAAAAGAAAAAAGAAGAAGAAAGTCCAATTGCCTCCCGAAAAAGCACCTTTGGGACAGCCATGACCTGGATGACTGAGAATCTCTACAGAGTTTTAGCTATACAATTTGGGATGAACACCCTTGGAATGGTGTGGGAGTAGGAACGGATTTCCAGAGGGGAAAAAATTGCAGACTACAGGAACAAGAAGCACTACTTGGGTGATCCTGAAGACACAGATAAACCTCCAAGTGCTTCAAGAACCCTCTAAAAGGATGCAAATGACCAGCTGTCTGCAAGGAATATAAATCCTTCCATTCCCCACCATTCTGTCAGAGCCGAAGAAGCTTCTTGGATGAGAAGCGAAACGTCTTCAAAAGAAAAAAAAATAAGAAAGTCCAGTTGCCTCCTGAAAAAGCACCTTTCGGACAACCATTCCTGGATGACTGAGAATCTCTACAGACTTTTTCCCCCCCAATGCGTTTGTAACTTCAAGCAATTATGGTTGTAAGTCAAAGGCCCACCTGTATTCGAACAGGGTGTCACATAGCCAAACTCCAGGCAGCAGTTCATATCTCATGTCCAAAATACACCAGTCGAACCTGAGTAAGTAACACTGTATGATGATTGCCTGCTAGTTAGAACAATTAGGCATAATTAGCCAAAACAATAACACTTACATGTTCGGCCCCCAAGAGTGCAATCTTCATGTCAAAGTTTAGCTCTGTTGCACCAATGTAGTATCTGTTCAGTGACATCCTCAATGATTTGCACCAGTCTTTGCTGTTTGTTCCTCTTTTGGTACTTGGCTGATGTAGACATGCAAGGAATTCATGGTACGATCTGAGAGAAATAATAGCAACACCAGAAGAGGCACTGATGGTAGAGATGGGATTTGATTGGAATAATCTCAAACAGCAGCTTTGTGTTCATTTCTATGTGGAAAATGGCCTTGTATTGATCCAATTTAAAAATGAAGAGTTCGAAGGAGAATGAATAAGCGTTGAGTCTTTCTCATCTCTATGTAGGACCTTGGCAACTGATGTAGGAAATGTTCAACTAATCTATTGGTTGTCCTCAAGCTGCAACCACAATTGAGACCAAAATTTATGTTAAGTGAAACACTTGTTAATCTACTGATTGTCCTTGAGTTGCGACCACAATTAAGCACCAAATTTATGTTGTTAAGTGAAACATTGGTTGAGTGTGTTTGTCCCCATTTTACAATTTTTCTTGCCACAGTTGTTAAGTGAATCATTGCATAGTAACACAGTTGTTAAGTGAGATGTTTCCCCCCCACTAACTTGGCTTGTCAGAATGTCGCAAAGGTGATCACATGACCCCGAGACACTGCAACCATCATAAATACAAGTCAGTTGCCAAGCATCTGAATTTTAATCATGTGACCATGGGAATGCTGCAACAGTCATAAGTGTGAAAATGGTTATAAGTCACTTTTTTTAGTGCCGTTGTATCTTTGAGCAGTCACTAAATGAACTGTTGTAAATAGAGGACTACCTGTATATGGTAAGATGCATTTCTATGATACCAATAAAGGGTGCCTTTCGGTGAAAATGAGAGAACTTGTATCAAGACAGATAATATCAGCACCAGCAGATTTTAAGCACACACTGTCTTTTCCCTTCCCAAGTGAGGGTTGGAGACAAGCATACAACTTAGGGGTATCTTAAGAGGGAATATTGCTCTTTGGCATTTGAACAACTATAGTGGTGCAGTGGTTAGAGTGCAGTACTGCAGGCTACTTCTGCTGCCTGCCGGCTGCCTGCAACTTTGCAATTCAAATCTCACCAGGCTCAAGGTTGACTCAGCCTTCCATCCTTCTGAGGTGGGTAAAATGAGGACCCAGATAGTTGGGGGCAAAATGCTGACTCTGTAAACCGCTTAAGAGAGGGCTGTAAAGTGGTATATGAGTCTAAGTGCTACTGCTATTTATTTAATTAATTCCCACAATGGAAAAATGGTAGAGTTGGTAGAGATGGCAAAATTGGTTATTCTAATTAAAGAAAATAACCTGTCTAGATTTGTTTCTTTTTAGAAACCACTTCTGGACTTTGTGCTCAAAATTGAAAAAAAATATGAAACTTTGACTTCAGGCTGTGACAATTATAAAGACTTTGTAGTTATAGAAATGGCTTAAAACTTTTAGAAATGTGAACCAAAAGATTGAGGGTTCTAACTTTTATTGTATCCTACTACACTAAAAAAAGTAGGAAGTCACCACTTTTTCTTCTTCTTTTCTTTCTGCACCTCTCTTCCTTCTTCTTTAACTTTCTCCACTTTTGTTTCTATTTGTATTTTACCTTATAGTAATTATAATTTAATGATATGTATATATATACACATATGTAGACACCGAGAGAGGCGCACTCATTCATTCATTTATTCATTGACTTACAGCTTATTTATTCATTGACTCACTCTCTAATATTGACAATAAAAAGAAACAATAAGGGACAAGGTGGCTCAGTGGCTAAGATGCTGAGCTTATTGATCAGAAAGGTCGGCAGTTCGGCGGTTCGAATCCCTAGTGCCGCGTAACAGAGTGAGCTCTCGTTACTTGTCCCAGCTTCTGCCAACCTAGCAGTTTGAAAGCATGTGAAAATGCAAGTAGTAAAATAGGGGCCACCTTTGGTGGGAAGGGAACAGCGTTCCGTGCGCCTTTGGCATTTAGTCATGCTGGCCAAATGGCCACGGAGACGTCTTTGGACAGTGCTGGCTCTTCGGCTTTGTAACGGAGATGAGCACCGCCCTCTAGAGCCGGAAACGACTAGCACATACGTGCGAGGGGAACCTTTACCATTACCTTTAATATTGACAATTGATGTGATTAGCAATGAACAAGGCCTTCGTGTCAGACAGGAATCCACAGTTACTAATTGGATGGAAGTCCAGTGGTGGGATTCAAATTTTTTTACTACCGGTTCTGTGAGCGTGGCTTGGTGGGTGTGGCAGGGGAAGGATATTGTAAAATCTCCAGGCAGAGGTAGTATTTGCCGGTTCTCTGGACTACTCAAAATTTATGCTACCGGTTCTTCAGAACTGGTCAGAACCTGCTGAATACCACCTCTGTGGAAGTCGTCTCGTCCAATCTTCTGCATAGGAGGGAGATTGACATCCTTGGTAGCCAACCAGTTTCCCATCAAGCTCCCACTTCATTGTCTCAAGTGTAGAAGAGCACACTGCTCCTCAAGGCATTGTTCTGCCATCAAAGAGTGCTTATTGTTACTTGTGTTTCCTAAAGCCTAACTAAAGATCAGCCTCTACCCGTTAATTCTAATTTTGTCACCCTGAAAACAGAGAATACATCTGCTCTTTCTGCTCTGTGGTAATCTCTCATAGGCCAGTATTACATTTTTCCCCTGTAATGTTCTGTTCAGGCTAAACAAGCCCACTATTTTTTAAAGGCTGAAGAAGGAGGAAATTTTGACCTGAAAAATATAAATACAATAGTCTGGACTTAATAACCATTCATTTAGTGACTGTTTGAAGTTACAGTAGCATTGAAAGGTGACTTATGACTGCTTTTCACATTTATGACCGTTGTAGCATCCCCATCATCACATGATCAAAATTTGGATGCATAGTCATTTAATAACTCATTTAACAACTGCAGCGATTCACTAAACAAGTGGCAAGAAAGGTCGTAAAATGGGGCAAAACTCACTTAACATCTGTCTCACTTAGCAACAGAAATTTTGGGCTCAATTGTGGTCATAAGTCAAGGACCATCTGTAATAATAGGCAAATGGTTTCTAGGGGGTGCAGAAGGCTATTGCCATCAGAAACCAGAGTTGTCAGGTTGGTCAAAACTGTTCTAGCAATAGTTTTGAAACCATAGTCAGGGGTTTGATGCAAAATCCTTCATGGGAGTGAGCATTTCTTGATGGAAGTAAAACTCTGCCTTGCTTGGCACTCTTGTTTATTTAATGGAGTACAACTGAGCTATCAATGGCCAACACATTCCTAAATTATGTAGTCATTTTTAATTTCCTAAGAACGACTTTGTTTAATGTTACGATGCCTGTGGTGGTGAAGACTTCTAGCCTTCTTACTTGGAGTATCCTGGAATGTTGCAGAATGTAGAATCTTTTGACTATGGAATAGGAGTTCATGACACAAGGCTGCAAAAACCTGAAACAGGAAGGCAGGTCTATGTGTAAGGCTGATCCACGTGGTTTATATATCTTCATGATTGAAGAACCAACCAGTGTAAGGTTTCTGCGTGTACAAGCAAGCATCCTTCTGGATTAATTCCATAAATCATGGTTATATTAATCATACCTAAACTATGTCATGAGATTAATAGCCTGACCTTTAAAAATAACATCATAGGTATGTACTAACCTCTCTTGGGTTGCTTCAAATTCTTCCCAGCATTCTTTTCCCTAAGGTGCTCATGAATTGACTGGTCCAGGACCAATAAATAATACCAAAACAAACATAAAATCAGAAAGTTCAGTTGTCCCCATTGCTAGCTGTTAGTTCTAGTTTTCAAAAATTGCAGCGTGTGTTTGAAATTTGCGTTGAATTTGAGCATTTAAAATTTACACATAATTTCAAGCTCTAACTCTGGACACAGGCTTTGTTATAAAAAGCAATCTGCCAAATTTAAAAGGACAATACCAGGATTATCTTAAAACAACCATCACCAAAATATTGGAAATGATTCATGATTTCCAAAATTATGGATGCTCTTTTAAGTTTGGCTGTTTGCTTTCGGGTATATTTATTTATATCCTGCCTTTATTAATTTTCTAAATAAGTCAAGGCAGCAAATATGCCTAAAACTTCTCCTTTCTCTTATTTTCCCTACAACAAACAACCCTGTGAAGTAAGTTGGGCTGAAAGAGAGTGAATGGCTCAAAGACACCCACCTGGCTTTGATGCCTAAATCAGGACTAGAACTCACAGTCTCCTGGTGATTGGGCCAAAATCACCCCAGCCAACTTTCCTGCCTAAATCAGGAGTAGAACTCACAGTCTCCTGGTTTCTAGCCTGGCCTTAATCACCCAACCAAACTGGCTCTCAGATGTTTCGTTACCCACGTAGATAACATCATTGTTGCAGATTTCCAAAATATTATTTCCAACCATTTATTTGGGGATGGGGAATGGAATTCATACCTTACAGGAAATGACTCAGGTGGCAAATATGAACGATGAATTCAGCAGTTTCTCTTGTCTCTTTTTCAGATTGATGACCCTGGAAACGATCAGGAAGAAATGATGCCTGAAGCTGAGATTGCAAAGTCCGTGGAACATCTGGGTAGAAATCAGGCGCTCATGGCAGACTACGTAGACTCTGGCTATGAGAGGGGGAACCTGAACCCCAGCTGTCTTCATAAGGAGGATCACCACGTCGCCACCCACACGCTGACCAACGCGGTGCCACTCTCCCCTCCCTTCCAGGAGCTTTGGCACTGGGAAGTTGAGCAGCTTGTCAGCCACAGTTTGGCTCCTCACTGTCAAAATGGGAAAGACCTCCATCTCCTCTCCGGAGCCATGCCTTCCTCTGTCAAAGTAAAGGACAAAATCGCGGTCCCCAAAAATGTTTGGCTGGCAGCTTGCTGTGACAACGGTGCCGAGACCTGGTCGTTGGGATTTATCAAAGAGGCCGATGTTGAGAGTCGTCTGGAGGACCTAACGGTAGAAGCCCTTGAGAAGAAGCTTCCTGCTGGAGCTCAGCTCTTTAAGGACCACTGTGGTCAAGACAGGCGGAATCCTAAGAAGCTGGAGTCAGTGTTGCACTCGGTGAAGGAGATTCGGGGGAAGAAACCACAAGCACATGTGAAAAAGCCCACTCAATGTAAGCATACTCAGACCGACAAGGAGGAGGGTGGCTTTCTGAAGAACCTTTGTCATTTCATTGTTACCCCCATCTGGAAAATGGTTAAATTTGTTTGCTACCTGATTTGCCAACTTGTGAAAGGTGTGTGGTGTTTGCTGAAGTGCATTGTCCAGAAGATTTTCAGTGGAGTGTGCACCTTCATCAAGGGGATAACCATCGCCCTTCTGGATATCTTTATCTGCCTGGCTCGAGTTGGGGTCAGCATCTTGAATGGTATTGCAAAAAACATCTACAATGTTCTCATGGTGACCTACAGGATTCTTAGCGTCCCCGTTAATCTGATCCTGGATATTGTGTCTTTCCCTTTTTACACCCTGGGTGCCATTCCTGGTGTGCTCAAAGATATTGCTTCAGGCATTGGAGGCGCATTCATATTGGTCATCAATGCTATCACAAGTTTGGTGAAGGGCCTAAACCACGTTGTGTCTGTCATAGCTAGCAAGATTCTTCCCACGTCTGTTTTTTAAGACTTGACTCCAGAGATTATCTTCCAAAGCAATACTTGTCCTCTCTATTGCTTATCTTCAGCTATTCTTATACGTATTTATTGTGGTGACATTTCCAGTGATGAACCTATGTTCTGGTAACATGGGTGAGCTACGTAAACCTGAAATGGGAATTTAATGGCAAATTAAAATTGCACTTATTGTAAAACGTCGAACTTGTGGAGCTGTTGAATTTATTGGCTTCCTAGCTTCTTTTGTCCAGCCTTTTGGGGGAAAAAACATGGAACATTCGGGATCTAAGATACACTAAAACATTTTAAAATGTGAACATTGCATTGTTCTTAGCAAGCAGGGGTTGCCCAAATCTTTTGGCTCTCTGGCTAATCCAACAACCTCTGGTTGTGCTGGATTGCAGTCACCATCATTTTCAACCAGAATAATCCTCCACTGTGTTGGGTAGAAATTTTGGATGTTGTAATCCAACTCTTCTGGAGGACATTGGGAAGGAGAAGTTCAAGTTCTAAAATTTGGAAAGGATTTTCCTGTAGGTGTGAGTGGTTTTTCAAAAAATTTAATGGTTTTGTAAGACAAGGTCATCTTAGTACAATGATATGAATTCACTGAGCCCAAATTTAATGCTGTCTAAACTATAAGTGTGATTAGAGAAAAGGCCCATCTGCTTAACACGCCAGTAACCGACCCATGCTACTAATCTAACCTGGGTTAACTCATGGTCTGTACATTATGCTTGCTTTGTTAGGGTTAGGGTAAGGCAAGTAAGACCCGTGGTGGTGCAGTGGTTAGAATGCAGTACTGCAGGCTAATTCTGCTAACTACCGACTGCCAACAGTTCAGCAGTTCGATTCTCACCAGGCTCAAGGTTTACTCAGCCTTCCATCCTTCCAAGGTCAGTAAAATGAGGACCCAGATCGTTGGGGGCAATAGGCTGACTCTGTAAACCTCTTAGAGAGGGCTGTAAAAGCACTGTGAAGCGGTATATAAGTCTTAAGTGCTATTGCTGCTAATAGGGATGGTAAATTAGAGCAGTATTTTAGGAAGCCAGCAACTAAAGTTTGCTAAAGAAAAAGTAAATTTCCAGAGGGTAGACGTGCAAAAACATTGACTATAGTCCTTCATTTAGATCTCACATTGGGCATGAATGGGATTCACACATTGTGGAAACCTGGTTGCTTAACTGGTTAAATGAACGAGCCACTATTATCGTGTTTCATACAACAGACTAAGCTCTAAAGTATGGTTTTTAGATTACAGCGGCTGGGCTCACATAAGATGCTAAGCCAAAACCAAACAAATCACCTAGCCTCACTAAGACCACCACTAAAGTACTGCATCCAGTTTTGGTCACTACACTAAGAAAATGATGTTGAGACTCTTAAAAAAAGTGCAGTAAAGAGCAATCAGGATGATTAGGGGACTGGAGACTAAAACATATGAAGAACGATTATAGGAAATGGGCATGACTAGTCTAGTGAAGAGAAGGACCAGGGGAGGCATGATAGCAGTCTTCCAATATTTGAGGGGCTGCCACAGAGAGGAAGGGGTCAAGCTATTTTCCAAAGCACCCAAAGGCCAGACAAGGAATAATGGATGGAAACTGATCAAGGAGAGATTCAACCTAGAAATAAGGGGACATTTTTCTGACAGAACAATCAACCAATGGAACAGCAGTTGCCTTCAGAAGTTGTGGGAGCTTCATCACTGGAAGCTTTCAAGAAGAGATTGAACTGCCATTTGTCAGAAATGATGTAGGATCTCCTGCTTGGATGGAGGGTTGGACCTACAAGATCCCTTCCAACTTTATTAATCTGAAAAACCTAGGACTTGATCATGGACAGGCCAATCATTGCTGTGGATTCTGGTAGAAGCCACCACGATGTCATCATGCAAAAGATGCTACTTGCATAATTAATGCAATTCGCATGATGACATCATGGCATGTATCATGTCACTTGTCTCTTAGGAGGCCCACACTACAATTGTCTGCATCAAGTTCAGCTCCTCGCCCCAAAAGTGTAAGAGTAGGTGAGGAGAGTATTGAGCAAATACACAGGATTACTTACTATATTTGAGCCAAATAATGTATATAGGGTGCAACTTACTCTTCATGTATTGCTGCTATGTATCATATGCTGTATTCTTTCTGTCAGTTTGTAGTTTTCTGGTTTCAAAGTCTGTCTCTGGCTGAGTTACAAATAAAAAGACAGTATATGTTTTTTAAAAAAGTAACCCAACCAACCAGAAGTACAGAATACCAACAATAAACCAACCATAATGCATGAGCGCTCCATAATTGCCCTGTCTCCAAGGTGTGGGAGAACAAGCAGCTCTTTTAAACAATTTTCTAAATGTCATGAGAGAGAGAGAGAAACCAGTTCGGTGTAGTGGTTAAGGTGGAAAGGGTGGAAAGCAGCAGATCATCAGTTCTAAACTTGCATTAGGCACAAAGCTAGCTGGATGATGTTGGGCCAGTCCCTCTCAACCCTAGGAAGAAGGCAATGGCAAACTCCCTTCCAAAATTTGGAATCTCCAGCAGTCAACACTGACTTGAGAGCAATATTATATCTGAAATTTACCAAACAGAGGTTCAAAGAATCTAGGATTATTGAAATATATGGGCATTCACACATAGTAGCTTTAAAGATGCTCCTCTTCTCCTGCAGAAATGTTAACAAAATCTTCCTTAGTCCTTTCTGTCTGTTGAGATGATGCAAGACCCCAAACGGGTATTTTTTCTTCTTCTTTTGAGATCTTTAATCTTCAGGAGGCTCTTCCCAGGCAGAGTTACCAAGCCCAAATTCAGTGTGTTCTGTGCAGAAAGGGGTGGCCTTTTGTATATGCCAAGCTTTTGGAGACATCATATGTAGGAATATATTGCCTCTATTTTCAGAAACGTGATTATTATGTAGGCAAAATTAGCACCAGCAATGCAAAAAGAGCATTGTAAGCCACCCAGAGTCACCTTGTGGTGAGTTGGGTTGCAAATAAATGTAATAAATAAATGAAGTATTAATTGTTTGATCATGCAGATTAATAGCTTAGCAGTAGAGGGTTTATCAACAATTAATGTGCCGTGTGCGGAAAGAAATATGTATAGAAGCAGGCCTAGGAATTGAGAATAATTAATGGAATGGCGTATCTTGACTAAAGTTTTCATTGAAGGAATAGGAGTTTAGGTCCTAAAACAGACGATGTTTCTCAACCTTGGCAATTTGAAGATGTGTGTGGCCTCCAGCTCCCAGAATTCCCCAGCCAGCTGTGCTCGGGAGGCACCTATTCCTTCAGCTGTGCTGGCTGGGGAATTCTGGGAGTTGAAGTCCACATGTTTTCAAGCTGCCAAGACTGAAAAACATTGCCTTAAACTGTTTTCTTGCAGATTTCTAGAACTCTGCTGTCTTTGGGAGTCCCTGCAACCCCTGCTATTTTTATTCTGCATTATATTGATTTCTTAAAATATATGTAAGTTTTGAAGTTGCCGTGGGACATTTTCAATGAAGACACACAGAAATACATCTGTTAAGAAAACAAGCAGCATTTCCTCTGGGGTGGTAGATGTCATATTTTATGCAATTAACGGAGCACTGAAGAAAGGTTTGGAAAATGCAAGGACCACTCAGTTAAATGCCTCTTCTTGCTGCCTTTTTCCTCTTGTAAGAATATAAGTTTGACTTTGTAGGGGCAGCTAAAGTAACGATGACGGATTTCCCATCCTTTTCATTTTGGAAGGCTTCTTTAAACTAAGCTTTGCTTACCAAAAGAGTGTAGCCCAAAATTAAGTTTTCATGTTATCATTTGAGTCATTTTATATACCCTGTGCCTTAAACCTGGCAAGGGATGCTCTTATGGGGAAAACTTCAGCTTATGGGGAAATACCAGGAGCAAGTAGATCTCCAACTCAGTGAGATCCCTTCATTGTTCTCCTTTATTGGTACCTCATTGTTGCCATTTGCATCCAGCTTTTTGTGTTTTGAGTTGATTAAAAGTGCACCCTGCACAACACATGTAAAGTCACAACTGGCAATTGCATTGAGACTTTTTATTATTGTCTGCTTTCTGAATGTTCATATGGAGCATTGCTACTTGTATTGCAGTGGCATTATTTCTATTATTTGTTTATTTATTTGTTTATTTGTTTATTTATTGAATATGTATTGCCGCTTATTCACCCATGGCGACTCAAATGGTTTGGTGAACTAGTTTTCAACCATCGGTTGAAGTAAGAACACTCGTTTTGGCATCTGTTTTATGTCAGGGTTTTTTAACCTTGGCCACTTGAAGATATATGGACTTCAATTCCCAGAATTCCCTAACCAGCATGCTGGCTGAGGAATTCTGGGAGTTGAAGTCCACACATCTTCCAAGTGGCCAGGATTGAGAAACACTGACTTAAGTGGTGAAAATCTACCTGAGGCAACATTTTCTAATCTAGAAATGCAGTGAGAGGTAAGCTACTTTTCCTGATGATCTGGTTTGGCAAGAACCTGTAATTTAATTAATGCATTTTGGGAGCAAGGGAAAAGACGTCCCATTTCCAAAGTATGGAACTGATATGTCCCGCTTCTTTTTGCCACAATCGCATCAGAAAAAGCCTGAGACATCATTTCTGACAACTTCAGTTCATAACAGTGTGTGCCTTTGAAGAAAACTGCTTAATTTGAAAAGGTGCTTTTAAACCTCCTGAGGTTTTGGCTACCGTAGCTAAAACATGTTTGGTCACCCTAAATATGCACAAATCTACCTATTTTTGAAATAGTTAACTTCTCCTAACAGCATACAAAATTAAGAGATTTATACTGCTTTTAAGTTTTTAGCATCTAACATTGAGATGCTAGGCCAGAGAGATGTACATGAAAAGAATTTAAATCTCCAAAAGTGACATTAAGAAGTTTCTGCAAAATGATAAATGTTTAGTGTATCCCATAACTATAGCTAGGAAATGAACATGTATACCGTATGTAATGCTATATACGTGTGCATTATTTTTCATTAAATGAATATAAGTAGTCCTTATGACCACAATTGTAGCAATATGTTGCTAAGCAAGAAAACTGTTGAGTTTTGCCCCACTTTAAGAACTTTCTTGCCACAGTTGTTGTTAAGTTAGTAACACAGTTGTTAAGTGAATCTAGCTTCTCCGTTGACTTTTGCTTGTCAGAAGTTCACAAAAGGTGATCACATAACTCTGGGACACGGCAACATCATCAGTATGAATTGTCTGAATTTTGTTCACATGACCATGGGGATGCCTACATTGAAAAACTGT